GTGTAATAAAATCAGAAAGAAATGTACTTAAACTCAGGAAATGCATGCGAGTCTTTCTTCTATAAATAGAAAGTACAAAACATAGTTTGAAGATTTACTGAAGGTTTATAAAAAATCTGTTTGGAATAAAGTGGTAACAAATTCTCTTTCAAGCCGAAAGAGTTCATCCAAAGTACACCCAGTTCCCTAAACCACACATAAACTCCTGGCAGTCGCCGTGCAGAACAGTAGAAAAACCAAAGAAACAGAAACAGCCACTCTAGTAGGACACAGTTAACACCCAGACAAAGCTGGTGACAGGTACCGCAGCAATCAAAGCCTCGGCGCAGCTTTAACGCAGGGTTTGGAAAATGTTGTTGAGAGGAATGGATTTGTCAGATTAAAAGAAAAATAATAGATTTTCTTTTTGTTGAAGTTCATAGAAAATCTTTAATGAAAAAAATGAATTAAGTGTGAATGTGACTGTTTTCGTTGGTCTTTATACATATTAAATAGTGTTAACCTAGAAAATGCATCCATGCTTCTGTAATGGTAGGCTTGCTAAAACGATTCATTGTGAAAATAAAGTTGCAAAATATTAAAGTGAGGACTTATTATTTATAAAGTTTTTTCTTTAACTTGTCCTTTTCTGATCAACTATGTAGACAGAATAGTGGATCTGAGTGCCGTACCATGTCAGAACAGATTCATTCTACATGAAAGGTGCACTTTGTGAGAGTAACACCCTGTGGTCAAATGTGGGTACTGCAGCCCATTTTGCTAAGCAATAAAATCACTTCCTGACTCCCGTGAGCTTCGTGCCTGTTGCCAGGAACAGATCAGCACTAGGAGATTGTGGCTGACAAAGATGAGTCATACACAGCAAGTTGAAAAGTAGATAAATATGTTGTTGTGTTTGGTATTTACACTCTTGGGTATTTTACAGAAGGGCACCCTCACTACATGTATTACGGTAATATGTCCCCGGCATAGAGGACGTGTGGTAGTTTGCTGTCTTGTTGTTACAGTTCTGAACGACTCATTAAAGTAAAACACACCCTTTGGCTCATTACACACTTCACACGTACATTTACCTGTGACATCCAAAAAGTAGCTTGAGATATTTTTAGAGTCGATCATTTGCTTCTAATTCACCATTAGCATTGTTAGCTCAACATTAGCATTTAGCCTTCTTTACGTGATATTAGAGTAAAATTTAAAAATGATGCTGTGGCTTCTTGGGGGGACATAAAATAACTTCTGGGTCACTCCAGTTTACTGGCTTCAGTTCTTTAACTCTGGAGCTTTTTGCCTGCTGGTGTCAAATAAAAAAAATGGCTGTGATGCGTCAGCTCGTTGCAGATTTGGCAACCTCACAAACTGACAAAGACTACATCCCGCTTTTGAATTATTTGAAAGCAGAAAAACTGTCAACCACCCAGCTGGCTTAGATAGACATCTGTTTCATTCCTTCCATCCATTAAACTGTCTTGTGGTTATTTTGTAGTAGTATTCTCCCAAACTGCAGATATTTTTTCTGTTGTGTAGTTTTCAATACTGTGTTTGAAGTGTAAAAAGGCAGCTGTAGCTTCAGCAACAGAGACAAATAAGGGCAAACAACATAAAAAGGAAACCACGCAGGTTGCCTCACAACAAAATTCATTTTAGGCAGCAAATAAAGGTTTAAAATTACAAACTTAAACCCTTAACCCATTTTAAAACTTTTACAACTAACTGCACTAATCCGCTAGCCCAAGCTAAAAGCAAACCGCAAGATCAGGAATAGCAAAACTCCAAAGTCAATCTTGAAAGTCTTCTAAAACCATTTTCATAGCACATATTTGTATAGCTTGAAAAAAACCCACATCCGTTAATGATGAAGGTTTTAAAGATTTACAATTTAAAAAGAACATGTCTTCAGGAAACAATCAGCATCAAAAATGTATAACTGTTGCTCTAAATAAGGCCAGAATCTTGTGGACTGCAAATAAATAAAGCAGCGTCTGACCACAACAGAAAATACTACAGGAACTTAGTAAAAACACCTTTATACCTACAGTAAGTACATTTTCCCTTGGTTTTTGCTTTTTGCTGGTACAATGGGGGATTATTTCATGGAAGCACCAGCTATTTTAGGATCTATGCATTCATACAAGTCAACATAATTGTTAACCATGAGTGGGTTTGCACAACAGTGTACATGATCCTACCTGGAAATTCATTTTGGTACGTCCAAAGCACCACTAGCTGAAGGGCTTACCATGGCTCTCTAAGACTTCACCATCACTCTAAACAAGCGTGCAGCCATTTAAAGAAGACCAACACAACAGAGAATGAACTTTTTTTTTCAGATGAAAAGTGAAAATCACTTCATAAAAAGCATTGAAAGCATTTCTAAGTTTGTGCTACAAAGGGATGTCTTACCATTCCTTTTTTTCTGTTTTGGCTTGTTTCCTGTTGATTTGACCCTAGGCTATTCACTTCCAGTCCTGGAAGGCCATCACCCTGCAGGTTTTAGCTGTTTCCCTGCTCTAAGACACTTTTGAATCACCTCTTCAGCATGTCCTCCAGTTCAGAAGCCCGGTAATCACACACTGGTTCAACCGTGGTGTGTTAGAGCAGAAAACGTAGAAAATCCGTTACCCCAGGTCTAGAAAATCTGGTCTTTAACTCAACTTTAATCTTCATAAGCAACTTTTGAAACTGTGAGTCATTTTTATGTGTTATAAACAAAACTCTAGACTGAAAAAGGCCATTAGAAATAATGAGGGTTCATAATAATGTATGTTTTTAGTGTGCTGTGGGAAGACAAACTGCAGTTTCTATTTCCAGTCTTCTGTTGAACAATTTGAGTGAGGACTGTTTCATCTCAAAAGATCAGCATAATGTGCTTTTTAAGAAATGATTTTAGCTTAATCTGTCCAAACATCTATACATTTAAACACATGGACAGATCCAGCAGCGATCCACTGGCCTAATGTGGTCATGTGTGCCCAAAGACCTTTTCTAGAATCCGTTGTTTCAAAGGACGAATAGCTTTGAACTCCCAAAAGCAACAGAAGCAGCTGTAAAGCAGCCCAAAATACAGATCTCCTAAAGGCTCTCAGAGGAAGAGCACAGACTTACTACCAGACCTTCACTTCCCATCACTGTTCCCAAAACAGCAAGGCAAAGCATCCTGGCGGGCATATTTTAGAACATGGCATCCGCATCGCTGACTATTTGAGAAACAACTTTGCACCCTCCTTGTGTGGCAATGGCGACAGCTTTGTTTCATAAATATACTGACCCTCATAAAGCCTCTGTTCAGGAAACATAAAAATAAACAGAACCGTAGCCAAAAGAATCAGTGCTGGGAGGAAAAGAAGTGAAGATGAGGCCGTATCTCAGACTCAGCCTCACTGCAGCATTCACAGCAGAGGGGACGGCTGCACAGTTCTCCAGCCTTAATCTTGCTAAATAAAAAG